GTGTAATTTTATGGTTTTTATTGCTTGAGAATTCATCCCAATGATATGAGACCGATTTATAGATTCATTAATTACTACAAGTAATATCAGTTTCCTTACTTAACAAGGATGGTGCCCCGAGTTATATATATTAAAAGTAGATTTGCTACGCAGGTAAATAAACGCCAACAGGAAGTCACACCTGATGATTACATAGAACCAGAGCCGGGACGCTCGGGTGTGAACACGGTCAGTGTCGTCACAGGTAAATAAACGCCAACAGGAAGTCACACCTGATGTTTACATAGAACCAGAGCCGGGACGCTCGGGTGTGAACACGGTCAGTGTCGTCACAGGTAAATAAACGCCAACAGGAAGTCACACCTGATGTTTACATAGAACCAGAGCCGGGACGCTCGGGTGTGAACACGGTCAGTGTCGTCACAGGTAAATAAACGCCAACAGGAAGTCACACCTGTGATGCTGCGCAGCTCGTCGTCGCTCAGGTCATCGTTGCCGAGCTCGTCGTCCTCCGACTTGTTCATGAGCGTGATGCTGTGAGCCTCGAGGTACGTTTCAGACAGAAGACCCTGAAGGCAGCACAACAACATTTAGATATGATGCATTCAAAGACCAGATGAATCATGGGAAATTAAAGCTTTGTGACTGACCTGAACGGCCTGTGAGAATCCTGAGCGTAGCAGAGGGAGGAAGACCCCGGTGATGGCCACGTGGTCACCGGGTTGGGCCAGCCGCGTGTTCTCGCCGCGGGCGTACACCGACATGCTCCGTGGGATGTTTCCAACGGGCACCTGGTCGCTCTGCAGGGCGACAGAAGGAGGTCGTGAGGAGAGACAGTCGTAGAGGTCAGAGGTCATAGAGTTAGAAAGGCTTCCTCACGTGTTCCTGGATTCGCAGCTCCTGGAACTTGACGAACTTGGAGCCTCGGGTCTGCAGGTAGAGGCGACCTCCGGACTTGTTGGTGACGCAGTCTTGGCTGGGACACATGATGAGGGGCATGAAGGAGGGGGACTGGATCTACAGGACCACAAAGAGGACTGTAAGAGGGGCAGGTGATAAACGGGTTCCTTCAGGGTCAAAGCGGTTTGATCCGGTCTTACTGGTTGGTAGGTCTCTGCACCGCACTGGTCACACGTGTACGTAGCAACCGCCATCATGGGTTTGACCTCAGTGGCCCGGGTCACTATTCCTCGAACCGTCACCAGATTCCCGATGCTGTCTGCTCGAACGTCACGCACCACTTTGGGTTTGGTGGTGCTGGGCGGCTTGAAGTAAAGCTCGCTGTGGACGCAAGGCGAGGAGCGTGAGGACAGCGCTGAAGCTTTTAATAACACAAGAATCTGACTCCACTTACAATCTCCTCATGAGCTCAGGCGGGTATTGGTTGCGAGCGTCTCGGGTGTCTGCGGGGTCGCGACCCCTCTGCTCCATCATCAGCCTGTGCTCGATGTACACGTCCAAAGAATCCTTCGCCACGATCTGAAAAAGGAAACAAAGTGTTACTGATGGCGCTCTCATCTTTCAATCCATCCAATCAATATTTATACTGCTTTTCCTGATCGTGTCATTGGGCGAGAGGCGGGGTTACACCGCGTGTCTCATCTCCATGACAACAGCCGCTGCTCTGCTGTGAGCGTCAGACGGAGGGTTCGTGCCCTCCTACTCAAATGATGAGCGTGATAAAAATTACGACCTCGTTATCCCGGCTCCGATCAGATAAGGAGCGAGGATGAAGTTGGTACTCAATCGCTCTGCTACGATTGGCTTGTTGAATAGAGCGCCACTGACGTGAAAAGTTGATGTTTAACTTGAAGTGACAACAGAAGGACGCCGGGCGCTGTGCGTGCTGATTCAAACGCCCGCTGCTCGTTGGGACTCGTGAAGTGGTACATACAGCGACATGAATAAAGGTTAAAGGTCGGGAACGTACGTCTCTTTCTTTGTATTCTGGCAGCAGCTCGTGGATGGCGTCGGCGAACAGACCCGTGTAGCGCTTTGCGTTCTCACAGACGCTCTCCACCAGATCGGGATCCTCCTCGGCAACATCATCCAAATCCACACAGATGGACACCTGCTCCCTGTGGGCGAGCGCCACCTGCAGACAAATCAGGGGACAAGTCATTTCAATCCCAGAGACGGCGGCGGCTTGGACAACTTCACAAAGACGAGCGACAGCATCGCCTCGAAACGGCGCGAAACAGGAAATAATGTTTGTGAAACCAACGGGCACCTGAAGTCGTCACAAATGTTCATTTTTTACAAAGAAGTTATTTCATGAAAAACTAAACTTTTCATGCAAGACAGCGAAAGTGAACAAGCATAAAATAAGTGTTTCAGAGCGTTCACTAAAAGTGTTCAGGGTGAAAACGTTAAAGGGTGAAAACGTTAAAGTGTTCAGGGTGAAAACGTTAAAGTGTTTAGGGTGAAAACGTTAAAGTGTTCAGGGTGAAAACGTTAAAGGGTGAAAACGTTAAAGTGTTCAGGGTGAAAACGTTAAAGGGTGAAAACGTTAAAGTGTTCAGGGTGAAAACGTTAAAGTGTTCAGGGTGAAAACGTTAAAGGGTGAAAACGTTAAAGTGTTCAGGGTGAAAACGTTAAAGGGTGAAAACGTTAAAGTTTCAGCTCCAGCTGTGAACACAAACTGGTTTGTCGTCCTACTTACAAGCTGAGCTCCGTATTTAAACGCCTTCTTCCCGTTGTCATCCTCAGAGTAAAACTCCTGCAGGAATCTTTTGCATTTGTCTGTTAGAGAAAAGAAACAAAGAACAGAGTCAACATGATTTCAGTGCAGAAACACACACAGGTCGTACACACCGGAGACACAAGGATTCAAACCCTCTGTGATGTGTACTACAGCCTCCGTACACGGGGTGCACGACATAACCACCAAACTATTCAACGCCTCAATACATTAGAATCAGCTGACAGGTCCACTCACACTCTGACATAATAAACATGAGAACATATTAACAGGTGACGCATGAGGTAAAGCGTGTTTACATGAAACAAGCTTACTGCTAATATCTCAGACTGATTGATTCTACTTGTTTGAAATAAACTTTAATTTCAGACACATTGAGGCCGGGGTGAGACGTGTACGGCGTGTACAGCCAGGTGAGCGTGTATTAACCAGGCTGGACATGCGACACCTGGGCGAGAGAGGCAGAGAATCTGAAAGTTTGTTAGGTTTAGCATGCAGCACATGTGGAACTGGATAATATCACGTAGCTTACAATAAAGGCAGAATGCTCCGATCTATTTGATTCTGATTATAAGACATTTCAGGGGACCTCGTTTGAATTCCATGTGACCCTGTTTGGGGTCGGGACCTCAAGGTTGACACAGCGCCAGGCAGACCTGATTACAAACATGTCGATAATTTTCATGTTATTTTATGCAAACGTGATTTTCTCCATTATTTAAATGACTATATTGTGTAGTGTATATTCTGTGGTGATAATAAAGCCTATAGAACAGAATTGATACTTTCCACTTTTAGAAATGAAGTAATAATCAGTCTTTATGTAAATGTAGACCACCAGCAGGAAACACCCGGTGACAGTATTAATGTCCACACTGTGTGCAGTGTGAGGCTCAGGACCTGATCTATCTTTGTGTGTTTATCACTCATGTGTAAGAGACAGTTTCAAAGCTGTGTAATGTTCATCAACAGGAGCGGATCTGTTTGTTGAGTAACATCTCACTGCAGCCTCACCCTGAGATGCTCCGTGAAGCCTCTCCATGTTTACAACAGTTTAGAAAGAGAAGAAGAAGAAACCGCCGTTACGCAGCAGAAGTGTCCATCTTTTATTTGTATTTTAGCCCTCACTTCAGAGAGTCACAACTATCATCATTATGGATTTTAATACAACAACAAGTGAGACTAGTCCGAGCTGTTTCAAAAGTTAACTTACTTTGACGCCGAAGAAGAAACGCCTCAGCTCTGCTTTCTCTGTTTAAACCATGTTTTTGTAAACAAAGCAGCACATGGCTGTGTGCCTCGTCACTTTCAGATCCCTCCGCTTAAAAAAATAATCCTCTACTGTTTACAACAACGAGGGCAGCCATCTTGCTCACGTTAGCTCTGTCTAAAGTCAACAATGTTTCCATTTATTTTAATGTAATAATCACTCAACGGTCGATGATTTCCGACGGCGGAGACGTTGACGTTTAAACGTCATCACGTAGCGGTTGATTATTTCGGTCGACGTTACACCGACTCCGGTAATATTTAACGTTTAGTAAAAAGGTTTAAACAAAGTTAATGGTTAAGAAAACAGAGATGGAGGGTTAAAGAACGGCCACACACACACACACACACACACACACGGTGTTAAGCCGAGAAATGTACCCCACCAAGTGTTTGAAAACGAAATGTTTGTAATGATCAAACTAGGCTCAATAATGGAGAGAGGTTAGAACAGTTCACAGACAGAGCTGGATCAACACTGACTCTAATATTTTGAATGTGAGCTGCAGTACACACTTTAAACACTAGGTGTCAGTTGGCTGCTTTAAGAGAAGGAGGAGAACTATAATATACTTTTTAAACTTGTTCATAGAAAAGATTATAATCAACACACTGTGGATCTGAAACCCATACACGAACCAGCCAGACATGAGGAGCACCCTATGGGAGCACCCTATGGGAGCACCCTATGGGAGCACCTGGCTCTTCTGTTTCAGTGTTGTCTCATGTTTATGAATAACCCTAACCCTGCTCAGCTGTGTATGTAATGACTACATGTATTTTACCAGATCAATAAATGTGTAAAATATCATTTTAATGCCCTATACTAAATGTGATGCTTTTTTATAGACTGTAGAGCTTGATTATGTTCATCTGTATACACCAGTTATTGTTTTTGTCTTTTAAGAATCTTCTTCTGAAGGTCCAGGAAGTCCTTTTCAAAATAAAACCTTAATTTGAAGAAATGCAGCTGTTGAAGAAATCTCCATAAAATAATTTTCTTTAACTTAAAGAGAAAACCGTGCACCTTATTAAAAGTAATGTATTTCTATTGCAACAGTGACATTATTCCTCTGGGACATGTGGTCGCGCCTGCTCCTTTGTTTAAACGGACACATCCGGGTCATTGAGCAGTCACAAGCTGCTGGATCCCAACAAGTTTTACCAAAGTTCAGGAAATTAACTAAAATACGCACAAAGTAAGATCGTAAAACAAAAAGAGCATTTAGTGGAGGTAAACGGAGTGCATGGACGATTAACTAAAACACACAGTAAAGAATATTATTTTAAATTAGATAAGCTCGATTTAGATCAAGTGCAATCAAAAGTACACTAGCAAGAATACACAAAAAAGTATTTAAGAGAAAACTCGTTTAAAGTTTAAAGCTCAGAAATGTGGGTAACCTGCTGCTCCGGTGTTATGTCGAATAATGCTACCATGCGGTTCTGTGCAGCATTACATGTCTACAGAAATATGGTTCCTCTAAAACCTTCAAAGTATAGTTTCATAACATGCTCCATGTTACCTGTAAGGGCAGGTGAGGCGACTGGAGTTGTTTAAACGTGATTCTTTACTGGGAGAATTACCTGTTAGGAGACTATTGTTCTGAAATCTTCCGTAATGGAGCACCAACACTTCTCCAGAATACTCAGATTGTGCATACGGAGTGGATTTATTTAAATTATAAAGATACTTTATCAAAACAGCGTTGTTTGAGCACCTGGTGTCGTTTTGACACGGTAGCATATCTCGACATAACACCTCTTCTGTAAAAAGTGGAGCCGTACCTTTCTCTGCTGCGTAATCCTTACGAGCCATAGCTGCTCACGTCAAGTTAAACTGTTAGTGTCACCGGGAAATATCCACGCACTTTAAATTCACGGTTTTAACGTTTCACCGGGAAATATCCACGCACTTTAAATTCACGGTTTTAACGTTTCACCGGAGAACAGCTCGTGCTTCTCTCTCAAATCGCGCTGCAAAGTGGCGCGAGTCTGACGTCTACACCAGCCAATCAGGTCGCTTCTCACAGCAGATAGAGGCGGGACTTTGTTGTGGCGCGAAACTTGTGGGGCCATTGGGCGTCACGTGACTCCTCAAACTTCCGCCCTGTTAGTCAGAATTGGCGCGAAAGGCAGCGATAGGATTTCATTCTGTTGAGTGACGGAGGGAAACTCCCACGCGACGATCATTTACATGTTTAATGATAAGTTTTATAAACTCGCGAACACTTATTTGATCCCCTAAAACAAAAACAATGTTTACACAATAACATAAATAAACTGAAAATAATAAATATTCCCACATTTATCAGTGGAAAATTATAAGTACGGAACTTGTGATAATTGCGAAATAATATATATTATTTTATCACACTTTTTTTTTATCACTGTTGTTTATTTTATTTTATGTCCTTACTCTGAAACGACTTTTATAAAACCTGTTCCAGTGGTTTAAGTGGGTAGTGGAGGTCATCTGCAGTCTGACATTTACAAAGGGGTCCTCTACAAAGCATCTGACACCAACAACATATTTTTGTTTTGTTATGTCTCCCCCATCATTCAGTCATTTACTATCATGAGTGAATGCTGTCAGATGGGGGCTACTTAAGGGGGTTTCTTACTGTCATTGCAAACTTTGCACATTTTGTGCCACTGCTGTTTTAAAGCTTGTCAACCCTTGGGGGTCTACTATTGGACTGGGGCCCCAAGCAGTTTCCTGCCTTTCCTGTTGACCAGCAGCGCCCACTGGCGATTCTAGAGTCTGGTAGGGCGGACTCTGGATCTTAAAGACCACCACTCAGGTTATTTCTCCACGTCATGACTGAGATCAGAAGGAAAACTCCTCTTTCTAAAAGAACAAATAACTCCAATTCATTTGTAGTTTGACTTTTATCACCCGGTTACGGATGCAACCTCCCCGGTGTTACGGTCTAAGTGAAAGACACGCCCCCTGCACACAAGATGATTTTTTTATGGTCTTGTCTCGGAGCACTCTGGACTCGGGTGTGTCATGTTGACTACAACACTAGTTTTAAAACATTTGAAGCATTTAGATCAATAAATCATCTTTTATTCAACAAGTGTACCAAATGATGTGCCGTCAACATCAGTGCTACAGCGACATGAAAACACAGGAGGAGAGGCTTTTAATTTCTGCTGTACACAGAAAAGAACTTTGAATATTTGGTACATTTAATTTTCAAAACATAAACAAAACAAACTTTTATACACAAAATCCATAATGGTTCATCTCTCCTCCCCAAACAAAACTAATGACGGACAGCTTTAGGAGAACTCAAACGTAGTGACACCACCGAAGACGCAGTGATCTTGTAGAGACGGAGTTGTAAAAAAGAACTGTGGGTCCAGGTCTCTGGTGTCCTCAGTCAAAGAGCTCATCCAGGACGCTGGCCGGGGTGTGACTTGTTGAGGGCTGCAGAGGAAAAACAGGATTAAGAAGTTGAATCTTTCAAGGCGTGCAGCATTTAATCTCCTCTTCTTCTTCAGTGTAAATATGTGTCAGAGCTCCTCAAAACATGTGTGTTAAGTTTCTTGTTCTAAATCCACTCTGATCCTGTATTTGATCATGTCTATAAACCCCTCTATTTCAGCCCTGCTCAGAACAGGCTGTTTCTGTGTCTGTACCTTTAAATATGTAAATGAGCTGTGTCTGACCACGCCCCCTCTCGGTCTTTCTTTCTCCATGTCCTATTGTTTACGATGAGAAGGCAGACCGTCACTGTCTGTGTCTGTGCCTCATGTCCGCACAGAGCTCGGGAAAAGACAGTTTAGTTTTGCTGCTCCCACTGCACAGAACTTTCTCCAAAATGACTTGAAAATGGCGGAGCTAATTTCGCTTGAAACCTTTGGTCTTAAAAGATAAAATACGCGAGACAATTGGACAGTGCCTGTGTTTCTGAATTGTAATCCGTGATCAAGATTCTGCACTTTATCTGTAAATCAATTTGTACATTGTAAATTGTTGTTCTCTCCTAACTTATTGTTTGTAAACTGTCTCTTTATCATGAAATGCTTTTTAAGACGTGTGCTGCTGCCTTCTTGGCCAGGTCACCCTGTCAAAGAGATCCTGATCTCAATGGGTTATTTACCTGGTTAAATAAAAATAAAAATGACTCAGAGGGCAGAACAAGGTGTCACCCACCTGGGGGAGGGGCTACTGCCCTTTGTGATGTCATGAAGGGAAAATCTCCAAACGGCCTGTTTGAGCACACATTTTCTGAAAAGTGGAGCAGGCAGAAGACGGAGAGGATGGACTTTTCTCATCATTGGGGGGTTTGTAGACGGACTAGGTTGAGTTCCAGCAGGAAACACTGGACTCCGTTACCATAGAAACCGCAGTGTTTCCCCTAGGTTTACAGCTTTGGGGGGTTGGGGAGGTGCGGGCAGACGGACGCCGACACAAACACTTGGTGTTCATGCGTTACTTTTAATGACAGCTGTCCTGTTCTATCAGAAAGGTATCCTTAAATGACTTCTTTCCGACTCTCACCACTATCCCATCTTTACAATAAAGGCACAAAAACCCCAAAAATAAATCTAAAAACTAAATAATAATAATAGATATTTTTTTGATTAACTTGACCTTCAAGGGGGGTAGGGGGTGCCGTTGGGGAGGGGCGGGCCGCCCCCTAATATAATGGTAGGGGATACACTGAACCGTATAGCTGATGTAAATGAGTGATTAATTGGTCTAACAGCTCATGACCAACACGTGCACTTTGTTCATTTACCGGCGTGTATCCAGACTCCTGGTCAGAGTCACTTTCATAACCTTCGATCTCGGCTTGTTCTTCATCCTCGATTAGAGAGAGTCTGGGGACACACACACACACACACACACACACACACACACACACACACACACACACACACACACACACACACACACACACACACACACACACACACACACACACACACACACACACACACACACACACACACACACACACACACACACCTCTTTTAATGTTGACGTCACTTCTCCAACAGGCCGCGCCCCCTCAAGCGGGTCAAAGCAGAGCATGAAGACGCACAGGAGCCCGGTTTATCAGTGATGGATGTGAAGCTGAATAAACTTTGGAGTCGGGGGGGAAGAGATCCAGATGTTTTCATTATTTCAGAGATTTATTTACTTTAGCTTTCTGTGTGATGCCTCCTGTTGCCTTGCATCTCTCCCCACTCAGGTTGCATTTGGGCAGTAAGGGGCAGAGCCAGGTAAAACACTTAGCTGCTGAGTTATCATCATTCTTTTGCCTTTCTACTGATCTGATAATATTTAAGCCCTTCATTTTCCCAGAAACAAACAAATGGTTAAAAAACGAGGAGGAGGAATGAAGGGGGTTCAGATTATATTCATCACAGACTGAATGTTTGCAGGCTCTGCGATGCGTCTGTGCTACTGTAACTACACCGCTTCACCAACGTAACGTTAGGAATCCTAAAGTTTCTACCTGAGGATCCGTCCTGCCCACAGAGACACTGCTCGACTGTACGAGCTTTCTGCCACTCGGTGTAGTGACTCCACCCACCATGACATCACGTGCATACCCTCCACATGAGTAGTGAACATTGTGCCCCCCCCCCAGTCTTACAATGTGAGGTGCGAGTCCAGGTCTTGGTGATCTACAGAGGGGCCAGTCTGGCTGGAGGAGAGCTGGCGTCCTTTTGTGGGCTTCACCTTCAGCATGTGAGACCTGTTGAACAGCAGAAGGTATATTATTAAAGCTACCCCCCCCCCCCTTACAAATTCATCTTTATCTCTCAACAGAAAAGAACTATGACAGCAGGACCTCTAAAAGGTCTATCATGTTTCTGCAGCATGTGCACAGACGGTTGTTGGCTTTGAAATGGACAGAAAGTAATTGACCCGTGGAAACCTCCAGCATGTGACACACGACTGGCAGGAATAACTCCAAATAAGAGATGGTAGATACTGACACACTGACATGATGATAAAAGCTCCACCTACCCTGAAGAGAACTCATCCTCAGACTCGGGCTCAGTTAAGCCGCTGCTGATGTCGGGCTCGGCGGCTCTGGGCTTCCTGGAGGCGGGCTGCTTCGCTGGTTGTCTCTGGGCGGTGGAGGTGAGGATGGGGGGGGGCAGGCTGCTGTCCAACCAGGATCCTCTGACTGTGCTGGACACAGAACCTGGAGGAGACAGAAGGGTAACAACGGTTTCACTTTATGAGTGGATCTTCTCTGTAGTGTGATAAACTCCCCTGCTCCTTCAACATTGTAAGAGATAAAGTCAAACTGATGAGAGGTAGAGGTTTACTCAAAACAAGACGCACTTTTAATACCCATTATTTCATCTAAAAAGTTGGCTGCGTCTTGACACCGGTGCGACCAAGATACCAGAATAAAATGCTGACACACGCGGCGTCATTAACCAGAGTTCAGCTGCCACCATCACAAACTGAACCCGACCTGACGCGATTGAAAATTCATCCCCGTTCATTGTGTATTGAAAGCTGTGCAGGACAAGGCTGGCTTCCTACTTCACATCTTTGACATCTCTGACACCCGCTCAGTGTCTTCGATACGCTGCATGTCATTAACGAGGCTCACAGCAGACCCGGTGAGATATCTAACACTTACTGCTGCTGGGTAATGTCAAAAAAAGAAGCAGGTAGAGACGAGGGAGGAGGTGGGGCAGGACAGGCTGAGTGTATGATGAGAGGGATAAGTGTGTGCATGTGTGTGTGGATAATAGAACTGAAGGGAAGCCAGAGGAGCACACTGTAACCATCTGTCTGTCTCACCCTGAGGAGCAATCCTCCTGCGTTTAGTGGCAGGAGTATCGAGTGAAGACGCAGCCTCGCCTTCCTCCTCCTGCTCTACAGCTTTAGAGGAGCGGCCCTCCAAGGAACGCTGATACATTTTGACTGACGTCCAGGAGAGGGCAGCATCGGGACACTCAGATTGAAGAATCCCAACCCTGGAAGGAGACAGTGCAGTGGCAGAGAGGTAAGGACAAAGACAGAGAAAGCTTTGTTAATATTCAGCTCATAATTTAATTCTAAATGAAGCAGAGTAACATTAAGAGGATCAGAATGAACATGATGTCCTGTGGAAGAGAGAGTTTGTGCGATTCACAGAATTTTGACTCACTTTTCTTTTAAACACTCATCAAACCAACATTAAAATAGCTGGTGATTAAAAGTGTAAATGGACTTGAGCTTGTATATTTCTGTTCTAGTCTTCAGACTACTCAAAGCGCTTTTACACCGCAGGTCACACCTACACATTCACACACTGATGGTAGAGGCCGCTGTGTAAAGAGTCCATCAGTATTAACTCATCCATTCACACACTGATGGTAGAGGCCGCTGTGTAAAGAGTCCATCAGTATTAACTCATCCATTCATACACTGATGGTAGAGGCTGCTGAGTAAAGAGTCCATCAGTATTAACTCATCCATTCATACACTGATGGTAGAGGCCGCTGTGTAAAGAGTCCATCAGTATTAACTCATCCATTCACACACTGATGGTAGAGGCCGCTGTGTAAAGAGTCCATCAGTATTAACTCATCCATTCATACACTGATGGTAGAGGCCGCTGTGTAAAGAGTCCATCAGTATTAACTCATCCATTCATACACTGATGGTAGAGGCCGCTGTGTAAAGAGTCCATCAGTATTAACTCATCCATTCATACACATTCACACACTGATGGTAGAGGCTGCTGAGTAAAGAGTCCGTCAGTATTAACTCATCCATTCATACACATTCACACGCTGATGGTAGAGGCTGCTGAGTAAAGAGTCCGTCAGTATTAACTCATCCATTCACACACTGATGGTAGAGGCTGCTGAGTAAAGAGTCCATCAGTATTAACTCATCCATTCATACACATTCACCCGCTGATGGTAGAGGCTGCTGTGTAAAGAGTCCGTCAGTATTAACTCATCCATTCATACACATTCACACACTGATGGTAGAGGCTGCTGAGTAAAGAGTCCATCAGTATTAACTCATCCATTCATACACATTCACACACTGATGGTAGAGGCTGCTGTGTAAAGAGTCCGTCAGTATTAACTCATCCATTCATACACATTCACACGCTGATGGTAGAGGCTGCTGTGTAAAGAGTCCGTCAGTATTAACTCATCCATTCATACACATTCACACACTGATGGTAGAGGCTGCTGAGTAAAGAGTCCATCAGTATTAACTCATCCATTCATACACATTCACACACTGATGGTAGAGGCTGCTGAGTAAAGAGTCCATCAGTATTAACTCATCCATTCATACACATTCACACACCGCAGATGAAGCAGTGGGAACAACTTGGGGTTAAGTGTCTTGCCCAAGGACACATCGGACATGTGGCTGCAGTAGCTGGGGATCTAACACTCGGGTACAATAAAGATTTTCCAAACCCCCGACCTTCCGGTTGAAAGACGACCGACTCTACCACTGCTTTTATCTCTGAAGAACTAGAAGAAAAATCATGTTTCTGTTAATTAATCAATTTGTTGCTGTAGCTCTGGATGAGGTCATTGTTTATGAGCAGAGAATACAATATTGTTTAATAAGTACTGAGATTCAGGTGAAAGAACAACTAAACACAAAGGCATATTGAACATGTTCTCTGTGTTTGAGTTTCTCACAGCTGGGCGCGGTCCTGCTGCAGCAACTTGAAACTAAACTCGCTGAGAATTTCCAAGAAGGTCACATTCGGGTGCTGCTCTTCCACATCCTGCGGGTCTTGAAATGCAAAACGTATGCCATCCCTACGAACAAAACAAACAAACAAAATGGTTACTTAGCGGATTATTACGTAAGAACAAAAACGAAAAGGAAGAGTCAGCGCTGTGGCTGCATCCAAAGCTAATCAGACGGAGCCCGTCTGTCATTGTTTGTCAGAGACAGGTGTGTTCCTTACATGTGCAGGGCCACCAGTGGTTTGCGGACACGATGAAGATCGATGCCAAAGCTCATGGCGAGCCTCTTGGCCAAGTCTCTAATCTCGCCGAGATCCCTCCTGCTGTAGTCCTCCGTCAGCATCTCGGAGAACAGCTGAGCACACAAACATGACTTTACACCAAATGGATGCAATGCAAACAATCCTACAGGTGAGGGCTGACTGTTCCCCTGGTTTCCTGGAAGGTAAAAAATACTGTAAGGAAATCAGATGCTTCTTATTGTGTCGAGTGTGTAAATATATACGGACGTTTCTTAGACTTAAAGCATCCACAGGAGTGAAAATAAACAGCTTATTTTGCTCGTTTGGATCATTTCTCAGGACTGTGTGGGTGTCACAGCTCACGTTTTGATTGACATATGCCAATCAAAATCCCACCTCCCCCTATACATAGTGTATTCCAACCATCTGATTGGCTGCTCAAAGCATGCTGGATATCTAGCCTCAGGAGCAGACACAGCAGCGCCACTTATTAACATATTTTCAAGGAAACGTTGATATACTGTTTGGAAAATTAACTTTGTGGAGTGTTGCTTTGTTTGAAAAGAAACCTCAAGTTGAGAGCTGAATGGTGCAACTCTAGCCTGACTGTTGCCTTATACCGCTCAGGGTCGCAAGAGGAAGTCGTTTGGCAAAGCTTCAGGGCGTTCCAGGCAAAACTGGTTAACATATCTTGGGGGAAATGAGCGCAGCATATATACAGGATTGCACAACCCTCTGTTTCTCCAAACCCAGCGCAAGACAATCTGTCAACTTCACCGGAGGATGTGCAGCCAGGAACGGCACGCATGGAGGAGCAAAGAGTAGAGGGAGACAGGAAATGTTGGGAGGAGAGAGCAGGGGATGACATGCAGCAAAGGGTAGAGGTCGGATTTGAACCCACAGCCACTGTGACAAGGGCTTTTGCCTCTGTACATGGGGTGAGATGCATACCCGCTAGGCTATGCGGCGCCCCTCAAAGCTGTTTTAAAACGAGTGAATATTAAATAACTATGATCAATCGAAAAACATGCAGATCGCTATCATCGTCATTTATTACATTTATACAAACGAGCAGTTAAAAGACATTTCATGTGCTTGTACAGTTATCAGACAGATCAGAGTAGGTGAGGTGCACACCTGCTGCAGACTCAGGCAGACGGTCTTGGCGCTCATGATGGGACTGATGAGTTTGCTCTTGCTCACAGTCTCTTTAATGATGTCTCCAAAGTCTTTGAAGTACTGCAGAAAACCAGAACAAGGCTTAAAGTTAGAATCATTAGTTCATGTAATGAACGAGGCGCTGTCTCGATGTCTAAAAGTGTAAAATAAATCTCCTTTTAGTCATCCGAGCTGCTTTTAACCACGGTTCCCTGTGACTCATCTTTAGCACCTCGGTGCTTTTCAGACGCTCACCCTCCTCCGATCTCTTACACATCTTCTCTTATTCCTCCTGTTTTAACCCAATTAAATCCTCGGAGCGACGAGGCTTCAACACAACTCTTAATTTTACAATCTTTAAACTTCCTACTTGAACACATTGCACTTCACACGTGTAATCACTTTGTATGGACCCCACAGTGATCTCACATCACACATCAGAACTACCCCAAAGATCAGACTACAACCAGCTGACTTTACACACACACACACACACACGTTCAGAGAGAGTCAGGGTTCTGGTCAGTGTGGAGGGAACAGCTCTGGGCTTGTTGGAGGCCTTTTGCCTGATCCAACATGTAGATAAACATGCAGACACAAACTACAGTTCCTCTATATATTCCACTTTATTTAATGCCAGACTGATAAAACTCAGCTATCCTTTAAAGCCCTTTCCTCTATCGCAAACCTTGCTGTAGTGCTTGAAGACATCGGTGGCCGCGCTGAGGTCCAGCACGCCGTAGACGACCAGTTTACAGTAGCCTGCCAGCTGGTTGCGCTTCCTCTGGAGAAGAGTGATCCTCATCTCCTCGTCACCCTCGTCTAAAGGAGGAGAGAAAGATGGAGAAAGGGGATAGTGAGACTTGGCAGAGATCGTTAATCGAAAAGATGCCGACTGGAGAGGCAAAGAGAACATTTGGAGGTGTTTATAAGACGCAGGAAAAACTGAACGCTGCGAAGAAAGGCTGGTATATATGACTTGGGAATTGGCAGTGCATTGTGAAATACAGGGAACAAAAGGGTTGGTTACAGCGGGAGATTCTCAAAAGCCGTGTCTGCAGGCATAAATGATGGTAGGCTCCCCTGGGAGAGAGTTGGCACTGTTAAAACTGAGAAGTTTGTTTCATAAACGCTTCAAACACAGAAGGAGACACCATCAGACTACTGTAGATTAAAAATAGGAGAGGACGACTGGATCTCCTCATTGCTTATGGAAAGAACCAAAATGTATTAAAACATTTGGAGCGGTAGCATGTAGGAGCGGCCATGAGGGTAACAGACTAACTTCAGAGCTCCCTGACCCTACGTCTAAAACTCCGTCTTTTTGCACTTTAAATTGATTAAAAATCGTGAAATATGATGAAGGCGTTGAGGATATGAGAGGGGGAAGACGAAAAACCGCTGTGCATGCTAAAGAACAGTTCTCCCTAGCAAACAAAAATTCTGCAGACGAGGAAGGTGACGGCGAACTCCACGAGCAGGAGGGGCTAGCTCCGCAACAAGCTAACGAAATGGCTAATCTACAGACTATACTCCAGGAACTGAGGGACTTTCGTTGTGAAAACGGGGTCTCTCTCCGAGATATTAAAGAAGACATTAAAACTACTTACAAGAGAATTGACGATGCCAAACTCTGAATCTCAGAAACAGATAACAAAATACAAGTAGTTGAAGAAACCATTTTGGACATGCTAAAAGTACAAGAGAATCTGGAGGCCAGACTCTCGGACCAAGAGGGTCGAGCCAAACGGGACAACATTAGACTGCACGGCATAACAGAAGGATTGGAGGATAACTCGCCATCGATGATCACTTTCGTAGAGGGTTTGCTAAGAGAGAAGCTGGAAATTCCTGCCACCACAGATCTTAGGATCGAAAGAGCACACCGATCCCTGGGACCAAAACCGCCACCAGAGCCCCCCCCCCCACCAAGATTAATAGTGGTCAAGTTTGCAAGTTTCAAAACTAAAGAGGAAACTTTAAAGATGGCTTGGCAGAAAAGAGGGTTTATGCATCAGGAGAGAAGGGTGATACTCGACCACGACTATGCCCCAGATGTCCTTAAGAAGCGTTGGGAATACGCGGAGGCAAAGAGGGTCCTTATAGAGAGGAAACTTCGATTTCAAACCCATTCCCAGCTAGGATGAGAGTATTCTATGAGGAGGAGACACGTGTGTACAACTCCGCAGCTGAGGCCACCAAGGATATGGCGAGATGCGGACTCCCGGTGGCTGTGTTCAAAGCACCAGCGAGTTGGTCCGACAGGATTAAATCTTCAATGTGGCACACATCTAGGGCATCGGGAGGAGAAAAACCAGCAGAAACTCTGCAAATGGGATATAAAAAGAAACTGGAGGCTTTCAGAAAAGATTGACTTTTACGCGGGACCATGCACGGCGTGTGAGGAATTTCACTACATTGATGTAAAACCTTTTTGACAAATGTTTCGTTGGCCTCTATATGGGCTTGTCTTCTTTTTTTTCCTATCGTGATGTAGTGAAATAAATAGCAATGCAAAAACTTATGGGTGCTTCCCCGGGACCTGTCAAAGACATTGTTCATTTAAGGGTCTCTGACGCGGGCTAAACGAATGACTGTACGCAAGTACTGTATGGAAGCAACAGAGGAGGGCTCTCCACAACCTGAGCGGAGCGGAGAAAATCCCTCTGAGCCGTCAATCCATCGCGGCTCCTTTAGGGTCACAAACAAGACCTCGGTACTTGAAGTTTCATTTTTCTTATTCGAAACATTTAAACGTTCTATTGTTCTGTGTTCTGTTGTGTTTTTGTTTTGTGTCTGTTCGAGTAGCAAAGGGGGAAAGGTACGTTCTGTGTTGTAACTGCACACCAGAAATACATGGCTGAGCAAACAACACTTGTCAGAGTAGTTACCTACAATGTAAAAGGTGTCCTCAATCCTGTAAAAAGGAGCAACATTTTTAACAAAATGAGAAAAGAAAAAGCAGAAATAGTTTACTTACAAGAAACTCACTTAACAGATGAAGAACATGCTAAACTTAGCAGACAGGGCTTCAACCTGGTGTCATCATCATCGTATAAGTCAGGACGCAGAAGAGGTGTAGCAACACTAATATCTGCAAAATTATCTTTTGAAAAACTTTTTGACATCAAAGACAAAGAAGGTAGATTTAATATGGTTATTGGAAGATTAGATGGTGTAGAGCTCACTCTGCTAAATGTATACGCCCCTCCAGGGGCTAAATGGGCATTTTATAAGCACATATTTGATTTAATGATTGCAAAAGCACAAGGTATAATAATTTGTGGTGGTGATTTCAACCTACGACTGAATCCAATGAGAGATGCCTCAGGAAATAACAGTAATCCAAATAATTCAATTATTAGGAAAATGAGAGGGTTGTTAAAAGAAATGGGAATTTGTGATGTTTGGAGGGAGTTAAATCCTACATCAAGGGGCTACACTTTCTTTTCTTCTCCCCACTCATCCTACTCCAGGATTGATTCTTTTTTTATGTTTAATAAAGATATCGGTAGAATAAACAATTGTAAAATTGGATTGATGGATCTATCTGACCATAGCCCTGTGTATATGGACTTAGACATTAAGAATAGAACAAACAGTTTTTTGTGGAGATTGAATGTAAGCATACTCAAAGGACCAACTAAACAAGAATTGCTAAGAGATATACAGACATACCTAAAAGAAAATGACAATGGGGAGGTTTCCCCAATTATACTTTGGGATGCCTGTAAAGCAGTTATGAGAGGTAAAATTATTGCCAAGTCATCTCTCCTGAAGAAACTCAGACAAAAAAAACTGACTGACTTGGAAAAAGAATTGACTGACCTAGAAAGAAAAAATAAAGACAATACTGAACCAGACACTACTCACAAAATTAAAGAAGTTAAAAACCAAATAAATGAACTACACTCAAGTAATTCAGAAGAAATTGGTATTTTTGAAACGAAGATACTACGAAATTGGTAGCAAGTCTACCAAATGCTTGGCCTACAAACTAAAGAAACAGCAAGCAGATAGAGTTATATTTAAAATTAAAGATCCGATAACGAAACAAGTAAAACACAAAACTCAGGAAATCCAAAGCTGTTTTGAATTATACTATAAAAACCTCTACTCCAAAAAATGCAGTAAAGGAGACATGAGTACAGACAACCTTCTTAACTCACTAAAACTTCCTACAATTACAGACGACCAGAATGCAGCCCTGTTAGCAAAAGTAACAGCAAAAGAGCTTGAATATGCAATATCAAAACTCAAAACATGCAAATCGCCAGGTTCTGATGGATTCAGTGCAGAGTGGTACAAAACCTTCAAAGATTCTTTATTACCACTATTATTAAGGACCTTCAACTGGGTGCTTGAAGAGGGGGAAATTCCTCCATCCTGGCGCGAGGCTGTTGCGATTGCTGTATTACCAAAAGAAGGGAAGGATAGGCTGGAATGTTCTAACTTCAGGCCAATAAGCATCTTAAACCAGGACTACAAACTCTTCGCCTCTATTCTAGCCAAAAGACTAGAAACAATACTCCCAGACATCATCAACTTAGATCAGACGGGATTTATTAGACGGAGACAACCCCGGGACAGTATCAGACGTACACTGCATGTAATTAACCATATAAAGCGTAGTAATATAGAAGCTGTAATACTAGGATTAGATGCCGAAAAGGCATTTGACTCTGTAGACTGGTCTTTCTTGTATAGAGTGTTGTTTGGGTTCAATTTCCATGAAAAGTTTGTTATGACAATTAAAGCATTGTATGACAGACCAACAGCAAAGATAAGAATTAATGGTTCCCTATCAAACAACTTTGCATTACAACGAGATTGCAGGAAAGGATGCCCTCTGTCCCCACTTTTATTTGTGATCTTCATTGAACCTTTAAGTCAATGGATCAGACTAAATGAGAAAATACACGGAATCAGGATGAGCCAGGGAGAACAAAAAAATTGCGTTATTTGCAAATGATATTTTAATTTATTTAGGGCACCCTAATACCTCCTTCCCCAAATTAATCTCAACCCTCACAGATTATGGGTCCTTATCTGGTAATGAACTAAATACTCACAAATCTCAAGTTTTGACTTTTAACTACATCTCTAATCAATCTATTAAAGAGACATTTAAAATAAACTGGGACTCTGAAGCTATGAGATACTTGGGTGTGAACATCCCAAAAAACTTGGAAAAACTTTTACCATTGAATTATGACCCCTTAATATCCAAAATTAAATCGGACCTGTCGAGGTGGGGTCTTTTGCCCTTTCTGAGTATAGCACAAAGAGTAGAAGCAATTAAAATTAACACTTTACCGAGACTTCTATATTTGTTTCAAACCATCCCAGCTGAACCTCCAAACGGACAATTCCTAGAACTTGACAAAATTATTTCAAGGTTTATTTGGCAGGGCAAGAAACCTCGGGTAAGGTTCAAGACCCTCCAGTTACCTAAGGAGAAAGGTGGCCTTTCGCTCCCAAATATTAGAAACTACTATAGAGCTGCACAACTAAAAACCCTGGTTGAGATATGTAATCCATCTTACAAAGCACGGTGTAAAGAAATAGAATGCCTGTTATCGAGTGATATTCCCCTGCAAGCTGTTATTGGGGACAGTGCTTTAATCAAACACATAAAAAGAGGCCAATCCCTGGATAAAGTCTTCTCTTAAACCCTGGTTTCATGCGATGACAGTACATCGAGCCAAGGGACCATTCGAGCTGTTGAGATGGATAGCCTATGATTCCAATTTCATACCTAATAAGACTGACACAACATTCAAAAAATGGGCGGATAACGGCCTGGTAAAATTCAGCGATCT